GGCTGTCGCCGACACGGCTGCTCCTTGCCGGCTTGCTCCACACTTGAAGGAGGAATGTGTGAGTGAGTCCTGATTCCTGAATTACGCCTGGATTGAGTGGTCCGGCAGCTCCAGGAGAGCAGCGGCTGTGTGCGCGCTGTCTGGCCAGTAGAGGGCACGTGTGAGTGAGAGGACAGACGAGGATGTCCCCTCCTCTCACCTCCGACTGTGCCTCTTATTGGTTTATTTGGAACAGCTGCGAAGACTGAAGTTAGTTTAGTGTGATACTTTGGGGTAGTTAGCCATGTTAATACTAGCCTGATTTTCTAATTGTTTTTTAATTACTTATTCAAGATAATAGACGGACTGATGGATAAATATGTTATATTTAATAACACAGCTAAATACTGACACGATAAGACCTTTGTCAAAAACTAACCTTGAACATTTTATAAGCAGAATATTGGAAACAAAGTCATATGTCACATATGTCACACCGTTTTCCCACAGAAATATGTATAGAATATATTAAATCAGTCGGTTATCAGATACAATGAAGTTACCCTACAATTATAACTTCTAATTAGGCCTCTTGTGGCTAGGATTTTATAACAGAATGCCCTTCTATCTGTGATCTGTAAGAAAGACTGTTGCATTCGTGTGATTTAAAGCCATTTTTATGGAGAATGTTCATAAAATTAGACACGCAGTAAGGTTGGTGAAGCAGTGTCTTTAAGCTGAAAAACGAGTAAAATAAGTGGAAGTGAATCATAAAATAACTCACTTCCACTCAGCACTCCTTTTTTTTTTTTAAAGTTCTTTGACATTTGAACGTCTCTATTTCCAGAACAACTAGGCAAATGTCATTTGCTGATGAACGTCATGATGTGATTAAACTTTTCATAAGTGTAGTGAGATGTTTTTACCTGCATAAATATGGAATATTTAGTCCATCCCCATACATATTATATATGCTCAATGCTTCCTATCATACTGCAGACATGCCGGTTGCAGAACATGTGCAAACTTAGTTGGGACTACAACAAACCAATCCTCACAGAAGGCATGTTGAACTTGACACCTTAATGCATTCATTTATTATAACTTCTCCCATCTAGACTCTCATCACAGTTCACCTTGTGTGTCCTTTTTGACCAAATGCATCGATCCTGTTAGAGCAAAGCTGACATTCAAAAAGCGCTCCATTATTTGACCAGGAAAACCACGGCTGCTCCGTCGCCCACATTTTTCCAGCTTCGATGAATCAGTAGTGATGCTCTGTTTTAATATATGCAAATATTTGTTTAAAATTAGATTTATCCGAGACAGCAAGTACAAACAACCCTGGGATATTTCCCCTGCTATATCAAACAGTGGGATGAAGATCAGCTAATGACAAAGTCAACCAATGTCATCCCCTTATTGTTTTTGCATGCATAAACACACATGGCCATTTCACTTGTACCAGCAGTTTTCACGGCTAATTAAAATGCAGCCAGATTGACATGGATCTACATTTAGTTTCAAAATGACCCCCTGCTGTCAAGGATATATGGTTCCAGTTGTTGTTTTTCTAGGTAAGCACACAAACAATGGCTGAAGCATTTCATAGAAATGCCACATGTCTCTTTGTGGTGTTTTGGTATTGTTTTGGCTGTAACAGTTATGCCGCCAGGAATGCATGATTACCAGCAGAGCCGTCATGGGAATATGTGAGAATGTGAAGTCCTGTGATTGGATAGAGGAGAGAATGGATAACATCATTGTTTGTGCTTACACATGCACGGCGTGAGCGTGAGTCTGAGTGGGTTTGTGTGTCTTCGAGGGGTGTGTTGCAGTGGTTCACCACAGACACAGTCTTATGTCGTGTTCAACAAATATATCCCATCCCACTTCAGTGGCTTCTTTTGTCTGAGCTATCCCTACAGCTGTAACAAACTAAAACTGAGTAACACCACCAGCCAGGTCCCAAATGTGTCTGTTAAATAATGCTTCCATTACTTTTATCTATTTCAATCATTTATCCATTTTTTGCCTTTATCTCAGTACCTTTAACTGCATTATTTAAAGAGCTGAGAAGTTGTTTTAGCTCGATTTGATCCTTTTTAATAAAGCTTTTTATGCTTTTCACTTTTTTATTATAATCAGGTTTTTTAAAGTCACACTTCACACTTGAATTTTTTATTTGATATTTTATCGTTCACCTTTTATTTTATTTCCTACCTGTGATCTCGTCTACATCGGTTTATCTCTGTTTTGATATCTCCTGTTTATTTAAGTGCTTATAAAGAAATTTGAATTACACTTGACTAACTATGACCAACCTGTTATCGACATTCACTGGTACTCTGTTCCAGCGTTACCTCTGACTAGACACGTACACATTTCTTAGTCAGATCAGTTTTCTTACACTAAATCGGTTCATAGTCAGCATCACACTTTTTGAGCAGTGAAACACATTCGAGTTCATCACTAAAAATCCTGTACCTGGTTGCATGCCTGTTTTTTCCCGTAACCTTTTGCAATCTTTCTTTCATCACACTCTCAAATCAAGACACAAAAAGCTGTGATATTGCACTGATTGAAGGATGGAAATGCCTCCGAAATTGATGCCAGACCAGGTTCCCTTTGATTCTATGTTTAGGCCTCATAGACTGCTGTCATATGACAGTAACTCAGTGCTGCTGATTTCTGAACAACATGCTGAGTTACCAAGTAGGTGATATTGGCATTTTGTCATGGATAGCCACCTGTTGTCCTTCCTCTAATCTATTCTCCTTCACATCTCTTCCTGCAGGGACAGTTTACACCAGCTGAATATAAGAATGATGAGCTAAATGACACTTTGTAATTGACATAAGTGGCAGTCTAATGCGTTGTCAATAAATGCCAATCACCTCACCCCATGTGAGGGCACTCAGTATGACTGAATAAATCTTAGAACTTAAACTGCACACTAAAGAAAGACTTACTAAGTCTCTCCTCATGTGGCTGCCAGACAACAGTGGTTTTGTCATTTAATTCCCCCGCGATTATCCCGTGCCGTGATTGTCAAAAGCTCAATACGAGATTGATTAGCTGTCCTTCACTGTGGGAAGTCCCTGGCTGCTAGTGATGCTAAACTGTTTTCTGAGCTTTGGCTTATGAATGCAAAACACATTTGAATGAAGACCGCCGGTGTCAGTCTGTGTTCAGTTGTTGTGTCGTGCAGAGTGTCTCATTAAAAAGCAAAGTTATTGGAGCACATAGCAATTAAACAGGATCAGCAAATCCTTTCAAAGCCTGGTAACTATAGTTATGGGTAATCCCTGGTGTACATCTGACCACTAGTTTGCACCGCTGACTGCACTGAGGTTGATTGCGAAACAGGAAAGGATCACATTAATTTGTTCTCGTGCTGCTTTCTAGTGTAGTTTTGTGCTTTATTTAACAATACACGCGAGGTTACTTGCATTACATCAGTGGAGCCCAGACTTTACTGATGTAAAATAAGACTTTTATCTATTACTTACTGAGGAGAAATGTTTCTATGTATGTTCACTTGATGTTGAATAAGTGACACAAGCAGACAATGCGACAGTATAATGTATTGTCACCGGAATAGTAACAGTAACACACAAAACCTGAATTCAGGTCATCTGACTCACATTAAAGCCATATCTTTATAGGTACTTCATTTGACAGCATGTCCCATGATCACTATCTAGGACAAAGACTTATTCAAGAGGGGTTCATCTATCATGAATGCATGTGTGTGTGTGTGTGTGTGTGTGTGTGTGTGTGTGTGTGTGTGTGTGTGTGTGTGTGTGTGTGTGTGTGTGCATTGCTCAGCGAGAGAGAGAGAGAGAGAGAGAGAGAGAGAGAGAAAGAGTGAATCTCTTTGCTATTCCAGCAAACTCTTTGACTGGTGTAGTAACAGGTATATACCAACAGAGGTCGCTTTTCTCTCTTGTCTACTCCACTTTTAATCTTCACTTTGGTTAAATGTGACCTTTTAAAAGCTGGTCTATGCATTTGCATAAATACACTTAATCAAACTCATCGCATCGTAACGGTGTTCTGTTGCGGCACTAAGAACGAGGTCATTTCATGACAAGACATTTGCTGCTGGCTGTTGGAGAGCTGAAGGCATACTAAACCTCAGCTTTCCCCATCATGGGTGAAAAAGCAAGTCTTATTTTGAAAAACAGAAGGCTTCATCAGAATAAATAATTAACCTTTCAAAATAAATCCTCATCTACACAATTATGACAACACAGGAGTGAGAAGAGAGTGTACATGTTCACAGATGATGCTTTGGGTTTGCAGTGATCAGAATCAGAATCAGTGATTTGACCAATATTGCATTGATAATGAACTGCTGATGCTTGTGTTATCATTCCAATATTGAAGTAATCTTTAAAGGTTTTTGTAAAATGGTTACATTAAGTCAAATTTATTTATTCTTTTACACAATTAAATGGTTGAGCCAAACTTCAGCATTTAACTATACATGTACAGTCCAGACATACTGTTACTTTTATATAAAAACTAAACAAATTACACATTACTATCTAAAAGAAACTTCATAAAACCGAGTTGTTAAAGTTCTTAATGTGTCTGAACGTCCAGTGTCCGGAGGCATCAGACATAATTTTACACAAGACATCTACTGACAGTATTGGACATTTTGCTTTAACATTTTCACCTTGCAAATGGTTAATGTGATTACTGTTTTAAATATAATGTGTAATTTGTATGCACACAAATTAGTTCAACCTCAAAAGTCTACCCAATAGCTTTCAACTTTAATTACACTACATGTTTTATTCTAATTATTTGAAATTAAATGAATAATATGTCCCACTTTGGTGCACATTTATTCTGTTTTTGGAGTACATTTCATGCACTGTATGCCCTTCTCTGTCGCTGTTTTTAAAATTGTTGGTGTTACAGCATCCAGAATCCTCAGAGGAGCTGGTGCTCCCTAGCAGCCCTGCTCTGACCCGATGGAGTGGAACAACACTTAATGAGAGACAAAGTCCCTGTTGCATTTTGTTTTATTCTTTTGCAGATCTTAAGCTCCCTCCGCTGTTCTTTCCACTGACTTTACACACCTGATCCCTGTGACCTGAATGCAACAAAGAGAGCTGTGCTTAGAGAGCTGAACTTAGCCCTATGTCTTTCACTGCTGCGAGCCCAACAAGGTCAGCTGAACAGTAATCAGCACCCAAATGCAGACCTGTGAATTTTTGCTTGAGCTGAACTACTCATCCTGACCCCGTTACTTAACAAATATTTAGATGTGACACAACAGTTGGTTTATTTATAACCTAACATTACATGAAAAATAGAAAATCTGTCAGTGATTAAAAGATTACTTATAAAACTATTACTGAGCAGTTGCTTTGAATCATGATATCACTGACAGACAGTCTGAGGTAACAACAAACTCAGAGCGTGACTACAATATGCCAAGGGTCAGATTTGTGGCAGCTTCCCCTTACAGCACACTCTTTTAGACACACATGCACAGTAGTACCCTCTCAAGTGGGCTTGAGGTAGTTATAGAGAGCACTGAGTCCTCCTTGTAGCACCTCCTGGATAGGTTTGAGAAGGGGGTTATGCACAATATGGAGTCCTTTATCGAGCGGGTGGCACGCAAGCCGCCTCAGCTTACTTAACAAGTACATTTCCACTGGTACGCTTTGCAGATCATTGAAGTCAACATTTAGGAGTTCTAAAGACTCCAGGAAGCACAGAGTCTTGGGCAATGTGTGTATGCTATTTCCTTCCACAATGAGGATTTTTAAATTAACCAGGTCCTGAATCTGGTCCGCAATGGTCTCCAGGCGGTTGTAGGCGAGATGGAGGAAGACCAGACCCTTCATGCTATAGACGCAGGTGGGAATGTGAGCGATGTGGTTGTGGCTGAGATTGAGTTTCGTGAGATTGCGCATGGCTGCCAAGCTGCTTGGCAGGCCTGTGATCTGATTATTGGCCAAACTGAGCACCTCCAGACAGGTACAGGAGCCCAGCTCCTCTGGTACCTCACTCAGGCGGTTGCGACAGGCGAAGAGCACACGCAGTTTTTTTAGAAGGCCAATCTCAGGTGGAAGGCGGGACAGGTTGTTCCCCCACAAGTTTAGAACCACCAGATTGTCAAGAGCACCCAGGGAAGAGGGCAAAGAGCGCAGGCAGTTCATTGACAAGTTTAGCTTCTGAAGGTCTTGGAGTTGCCATAGTTCAGTTGGTGTTTCATTTAGTCCTCGCATGGCTAGACTTAGGGTGCTGTAACCAAAATGCAGTCTAGTGTGTCTTCGGATCCTCCCAGCAGCCAAGGTCATGCTGGACTGGTCGTCTCTAATTGCACTCTGTCTCCGTTGGCTCACACTCATGTCATTCAACTCCTTGCTGGACAAAGTGCGGGACTGCTTCCCACCCATTGCTCTGTTGACTATAACTTATCAGAAGATGTTAGCATGCGATTAGCAAAATCACTTACTAAGAATACTGGTCTCTGATTGAACTCTGGAGTTCTTGAATGAGCCTCGCAGAACATCATCATTTGCACTATTACACTGTCTTGGTCTTGTAGAATTCCTGATGCATATTAGAAACTACACTGAATCCTGTCTAGGTTTTTCCTCACGAAGCTGAGTTACACGCCGCTGTAGCAGAGCACTCTTATGGTCTGAGCTTCCCATACCAACTGCCTCTCTGACTGGATTTCAGTCCCCAGCTGGTCCTGTCACTTCTTCCAGTCCACAGATAGCACACTGCTCCCCACCCACTTCAGGAGAGCAGGACTAGAGATAGGATTCTGTGTGTGATCAATCAGATGAGCTGAGTGCCATGATGTCATAACCTAACACCAGAAATATACCAGTGCTTACACACGCTGTAAAATGTTACATAACCATGTTTATTTTGTTAATATACTGTAAGCTACAGCTGTTATCTTCTGCAAGAATTTTTTATTTAAAATAAGTGAGATATTTGGCATACCATCGATCGCAATGTCCCCAAACATTTTTTTTTTCTCTTGTGTTGGCCTCCGCACCTTTGTAAATGTTCCCCTGTTTCTTCTTAAACTTCTCAAACTGGCAGCTGCAAAAACACTGAGTCATCTTTCAATGAAGCAACAACTCTGTTATGTGCTGGTTTAATCTCAAGTGCAAAGGGACATGGAACATTCCAGCATGTTCCTAGAAATCTCTGCTGCTATTCAAAATCTCATTCATGTGGCCCCTGAGGAGGAGTCTATCATTTTATGCGAAAAAATATACTGTAGCACATTTCAATTTTTGAATTTGTCTTACCCCACAGCAACTTACACACCATGGTAAAAAGTTCCCAGTGTATTTTCCCTAAAGGGTTTGTCTTAGTTGCTTCCTAGCAGCCCTCTCTTAAACCTATTTGTTCCACTCAAACTTTAAAAATGTCAAACTAAAGTTCAAATATCATAATATCTCAGTTTTTATCTTGACTTCGACCTTGATGCCAGAATAGCTGCTTCATTTATTCAGGTGATTGTATACACTGTAAATGATCCATTAAGCACAAACCTATACTTACAGACAGGCGTTATACACTTAGGTCCATTTATTTTCCAGGGTAGTGACACATTTCACACAATGCAACCAAGGATTAATGTTAAAGTTTGAAAATGATGATAGACTCTCAGCTTTAATTCAAGGGATTAAACAAAAACTTGCATTAACTAATGTGGAGTTATTACAGACATTACCAAAATATTAAATGAAATGCTAATTTCACACTCTGGTGACAGTGGCAGAGAAAAGGACATTAAAGAAACTGATGGACATTATGAACAATGCTGGGCATCCTCTGCACACGGCCATAAACAATCAGAAGAGTCTGTTCAGTGACAGGTTGCTTCTCCCCAAGACAAGAACTAACAGACTTAAAAACTCCTTTGTCCCACACGCCATCAAACTGTTTAACTCCTCTCTGGAGGGAGAGGGAGGGGAAACAGGAGGACAAAGGAGGGGGAACAACTAAGCTGTAGTGCCTCTTCACCTCACTGTACAATACCTTGTGCAATACTTTTTGTAAATAGTCAACAGTGCAATAGACTCAATACTTGAAATGTGCAATTCACTTGTATTTTTATTTTTTATTCCTATTTATTCTATTTATCCCCTTTGTATATTTTATTTATATTTGTCTCTGTATTTATATATGTGTGTGTGTGTGTGTGTGTGTGTGTGTGTGTGTATATATATATATATATATATATATATATATATATATATAACAATTCTGTAACTGTAACTTCGGTCGTTGCTGTGCTTTTTGGAAGTCGAATTTCCCAGAGGAACCCACCCGAGGGATTAATAAAGTTCTATCTTATCTTATCTTATCTTAATTTTTAATACTTTGTCAGGATTTCTTAGCAGGCAGGTCCTAAAATCTGGTAACCTTGGATATCACCAAAGAATGCATTTTCTCATTTTTAATGCTTTCTATGCTTAAATAAGAGCTCTTTTAACTACATGTTGAGGGTTCGCAGCACAAACACAAATGTTACATTTGGCCAATCAGATGGGATTTTAATACTCAAGGCTAGTCAAGCTTTTTATCCTTGAGAAAACTAAATGAATAGGGCAACACTTTAGTTCTAGCTATACTGTTGGTTCCTCTGGCGGTTGCATCCATCCAACCTGCCATCCAGAGGCTGCAGTGTCACAGCTGCACAAAGCGTGATGTGTAGCCAAGTTTTGGACCAGATTAACTAGTGTGCCGATTGGTCCATCATCATATATTCCTTTGAAGCTCCTACATGGACACTCCAGTACTGGCTACAGTCCCTCAGTTTACTCACAATCTAAAACAAGTCATTTTAGCTCTTCTTCCTTTGAGCTAATGTTATTTCAGTTAGTTGCACCTCGCAAACAGAAGGCCTGAACAGAGGATAGGAGAGGCTGCTGTGCCTGAGATGAGTGTGCTCTCTTAAGCATCATACACATCCAAAATAGAAAATAGAACAGAAATAAGGAAAAAGTCTAATAGGTCTACCTTAAGTGCAAGTTCCAAATCTAAATAGTGTTTTACAGAAAGTAAATAAATACATACATGAGTAAGTAAGCGACTTCAGTTGTGGGCATCTCATGGATTAACAGGGCTATGTAGTAAAACACACCAACGGGAAGACAAATTATGTAGCTTTGCTGATTGCTACATGACATAAATTTAGCATGAAAGCGTTTTTCTTGTAAACGACTGATAAAAAATGAGCGAAGCTTGCCAGAAACAGTTGGAGAACCGCTGCTTTAGGCACGTTGTTAGCAATAGGAGTGCACTGGTTTTATTTATTTTCAGCGCTTTGGCTTTATTTTTAATAAAAGCTTGTTTATATTGCAGCCCATGGGTTGAAATCACACAGTCAGACAGACATGCATATTCCAACTGAAAGTCTTTAGCTGGATGGTTTGCACACAGGGTGGTGCTGGTGTTTTAACGCTATATTTGTCTGTCATGCATTTACATATAAAGTAAATTTTAATGAAAATGATTTGGAAACCATAAAAATTTGCAGGCATGTCTGTAGTTTAACATGTATAGTTTTATTATCATTATAGTTACTATACCAGCATGCTGTTCTTGATGTTTCACAGGATACATCCCAGTGAGTTTAATTAAGTCTTGAAAGTATATTTCCTTAAACATTTACTAAATGTTGTCTGCTCTTTATGAATGCTATACAGCAAATGACATCTTGTCATGTTGTATAATCTATTTTAAACAATATATAACGTGAACCATAAAGATGTTGTATAAATGTTATGGGGGAAATATGAACTCGCTTTCCTTGACAGCCTTAAAGAGTCTGACCAGGACTTACAGCGGCCTTAGTCATCATTCTCCTCCCAGTCCAGTAATCAAAGTACCAGGATGACAGTTAGCAGTGATATCCTGCTCTGGGGACTCGGTGGCTCTGCTCTGAGCATGGCTACATCAGCACTTATGAATGACAGGTTGAACCATCTGTTTGCTGAATTGGACAACAGAGCTGTTGAGGTGCATTGGCCATTCAGGCAGCTGCTTGTGCAGCATGTCTCATCTTGGCAATTTTTCTTCCTTTTTTTCGTTTTGGTAAATTCTAATACCCCCACATCACAGAAACTTTTGTAGAAACTGGCTGACTGGTAGATTTCTTGTGTGTGTGTGTGCTTGCAACAAAAAACAAAGTCTTTATATAGCCCCGTTTTTGTTTTTTTAAGGCAATCTGCAGTGCTGATCTTGTGTATATGTGTGCCACGGCTAATTTCACACACAGCAGGATCGCTATATCCTGCCATCCTCTATTTACATGAAAAATGATACCTCAGCTGTAACTGTCAGACCATTGCCCCCCCCCCCCTCCCCCCATGTGCAAACGCATCCCCGGAGTGGCAACACCGGGCTCAGAACACATGCTGTCAAATATGCAGAAAAACCTTGGCTTCATATGCATATCCCTCATTATGGGTTAACTGTGTCATCTCAATACCTGAATAAAGCCAACACGGATGGACAGATGGAGGAAGGAGATGGGACTGAAGCGAGATAGGTAGGTTGATGGATGGATGGACAGAGGGAATAATGGTTGTGTCTCTGACAGAGATGTCATCGTGACATACCTCTCTCTAACACACTGTAGCCTAACACTCTGTCATAATCATGTGTGGCATGAATCTTCATTAGATGTTCCTTTTCTCCATCCCGTGCATGTTTTCTTCGAAATGAATTGTCCTTTCTACACCAGAGGAACAGATGTGTGGAAACAGCTTGAGATTTAGATTACAATAAAATGGGATTTACCATTCCTCCTGCATTCACACAACACCTTAATACAGAGTCCCATTAGCGCCAAATGAGGATGAGTTATTCACTCAGCGAACAGTTACACCCTCCAGTCCTCAAGGCGACAAAAATGATCTCATTTGAGAAAGCTCATCTGGTTATGTGGCACAATAATGACTCTGGATGAGCTACCTTTAGAGACTCTAGTTCAAGATATATACTATTATTACTTGTTCATTATTGTGGAAGCTTCTGGCGATGACAGATGATATATGGTTTCACTGCCACAGAACCTGCTGTAGGTGTTTCTCCCCTGTTAAAATGTAAGAACACACCAAGACCCGAGGCTCTTTAGAGCCCATATTGCAGACACATTACTCCTCGAAGCTAGCACTCCTCCTGAAGTATATGCTCGCTCTTAAGACAGAATACAAGACAAGATCAGATCTGAGAGACAAGAAATATGCATTTCGCAAGCCCTTTGACTATTACCTTCAAAATTAGCACCACGAAATGGGAGAAAGCACCCGAGCAGGGCTGCACGGTGTGCCACCTGAGCTGATAATCGTCTATTATTCAGCAGGTGCAGATGTGAATATTCACACCACTGGACACTTTCCACCACTTTCCCATTTGTGCACGTGCATGTTTTCCTCCCTCAGCTAATGGAGTCTGTGGATGTGGCTGTGTATTTTTCTAAAAAATTGAGGATATGTCACACATTTGAATTGCCATCTGGAAATTGGCTGCAACACCGCTCTGCCTGAACCTCCAGGTGACACAAAGGATCTACTAAGCAATGCAAATTAGTAGGGAGGAAATTTGAGGGAGTGTCCAACAAGTCTGCTCGGAGGCTGTGTACGAGGCCAAGAACATTTCATTTAAATGTTACAAATGTTCATTTATTTACCAGATTGGACACGCTGACGT